TTATTTTGATTTTTGTCTCTCTAAAGCGCTTTTGGCTTCGTTCGAGAGGGCAGGGAGCCGAGAGAAAGGGGGAGAGGAGGGGATGAGGGGTGATCGGGGAGAGGAGGGGTGAGGGGTGGTGGGGGTATGAGGACGGGGTGGGGGTGGGGGTATGAGGAGGGGTTGAGGGGTGGGGGGAGAGAAAAAGGATGAGGGGTTGGGAGAGAGGAGGGTATGAGGGTGGGGGGAGAGGAGGAAATAAGGGGTGGGGGGAGAGGAAGGGGTGAGGGGTGGGGGGAAGGCATGGAGGGGGGTTGTGTAGCTGAGACGACAGGGGGGTTTATATTTAGTGGGGAGCGGGCCCTGGACATGTTAGGAATGAGTTCTCGGGTTTTGGGGGGAGAGGGGAAGAGGGGAGGGAGAGGTAGGATGGAGGAAGGGAGGGGAAGGAGGGAGGAAAGAGAGGGGAAGGAGAGAAAGGAAGGGGAGGTGAAAAGAGGGGGATAATGATCTTGCATTGTCTCTCTCTTTTTTATTCTTGTTTGTATGATTTGTCCTTGTCTTGCAGTCTATTTTGTCTTCGTTCTTCGCTCCCTCCTTGTCTCCTCTCCCTTTCTCCCTCCTTCCCTACGTTTCTCTCTCTTTACCCCCCCTCTCCTCTGTTTCTGTCTTTATTTCTTCATTTCCTCTCTCTCTCCTCTCTTCTCTCTCTCTCTCCTCTCTCTCCCTCTCTCTCTCTCTCTCTCTCTCTCTCTCTCTCTCTCTCTCTCTCTCTCTCTCTCTCTCTCTCTCTCTCTCCTCTCCCTCTCCCTCTCCTCTCCTCTCCCTCTCCCTCTCCCCTCTCTCCCTCCCTCCCTCCCTCTCCTCCCTCCCTCCTCCCTCCTTCCCTCTCTCTCTCTCCCTCCCCTCCCCCCCTCCCTCCGCCCCTCTCTCCCTCCCACTCCCCCTTTACTTCCCTCCCCCTTCCCCCCTGTTTCCCTCCTGTTTCTCCTCTCTTCTCACCCATCCTATGCATCAACCTACATTCAAGGAACTAACCCACAAGTTTAACAGAACAGAACCGGCCTCTAGTGTTGTGTCCGGCCAACGGTTTTCGATTGCGAACCCTTCAGTGTCTGTTCGTCGGTCATTCTCTTTTTCTGCGTTCAATCATATTATTTGTTATTTATCTGTACTCGTTGAATCTCTGAAATATTTGTATATTGAACCGTATAATGATTGTTACCTCATCATTTGTGATTTATTTATACTCGTTGAATCCGGGAAGATTTGTATTTTAAATTGTATACTGATTGTTATTTTTGCTCCTGTTTGGCATGAATAGCGCCTAGAATAGAGTTTATAGAGTTAATTCTATTCATCGCTTACACAGCGTCTACTTTATTAGCTGGAAATTCAATTTTGTGTCCCCGTTCAGCTTATATTTAGTCCAGCGCGTCCCGGGTATAGATATAATGCAATGATAATGATAATAAATAATGATAAACAGCGACTGTCTTTTCGTAATTCTTCTTCGTCTTCCTCCTCTTCCCCGTAGGTACGAAATAGAATAATGAGAAAGGTAAATAAAGAGCGACAGTCGATTGAAACGAACAGAAACGTGTATGTGAATCAAGCGAGTGTGTTTCGCCACAGATGTTGCTTCAACGCTAAACTTCTCGGTCTTGCAAGAAAGCGAAGGAAGACGCTCGACGTAGAGCCACTTTCTCGGGCTGTGCGCCGTTTCTTGTCCATTTCCTTCCCCCTTTTATTCTCTTAGTCTGTTTGTTTGGCATTCTCCTTTTACTCCGACTTGTCTTCTACACTCTCTTAGATCCGTTCTTCCCTCGGCTATCTCCGCCTCCTGCCTCGTTCCTCTTCAATTCTCCTTCCTTTCCTCCTTCTCTTTCCTCCTCCTCCTCCTCCTCCTCCTCCTCCTCCTCCTCCTCTCTCCTTTTTCTTCATCGCCTCCCCCTCCTCATCCATCTTTTCCTCCTCATCCATCTTTTCCTCCTCATCCATCTTTTCCTCCTTTTCCTCCTCATCCCAATTTTCTGTATCTCATCCCAACACCTTTACTCCGAACAACCGAATACTTCCCGGCCACTTCATCCCCCTTGCGATGGTGACCCACGCAAGCAGAAAGTGACCCTCCCCCCCTCCCCTCCCCTCCCCTCCTCAGTAGCTCGCAGGATGTGACTCATGGGCGTTGCCAAGGATGAGGGGAGGGAAGGGGGAGAGGACACGAAAAGAGGGGGGGGGGGGAGATCAGGCATAGGTATAAGGAGTGAACGAGGCGGAGGGGAGGAAGGAGGAGAGAGAGGGGGGGCGGGATCAGGCATAGGTATAAGGAGTGGACGAGGGGGAGGGTAGGGAGGAGGAGAGAAGGGGGGAACTTGTATACGGGAGGGGAAGAAGGGGGTGAGGGAGGAGTGAAGGGTTGAAGGCCTCGAGTGCCTGGTGACGGGATGTGGGGTATGTGTACACATGAGCACAGATGTTCGCGCACGGACGTAGAAACACTCACGTACGCACATTGCATATACAAACACAAACATACACATGCAAGAGCTGATAGATGCATGAACGTAAGCATATCAATTTACACACATAAAGCGCGACAGAGGCATACAGGTAGATAAATATTCAGAATATATGATAAGGTCGAAATAAAAAAAAAGTGTTTGCGTGGGTCAATAAAGGCGAGATAGAGACACGCCAAGGAGAACCACCATGGCTGATAGACAGAGAAACAGAACGGTAGGATTGAGAGAGAGAGAGAGAGAACGAGGGAGACGACAGAGAGAGAGAGAGCGAGAGACGACAGAGAGAGAGAGACGAGAACGAGAGAGGCGACAGAGAGAGAGAGAGAGATTCGAAAATGAAATAAATCAACATAAAAAGACCAGAGAGCAAGAAATCAAAAGACGGCGAAACAGGAGAGAGAGAGGAGGGGGGGGGAGAGAGTGCGCAAGCAGTGCAGGTCAGGAATTCATAAACATCATCAAATATTCACACCTTAACAACCTCGCAACGTACACACAGATCAGGTTAATTATCCGTTTTGCCGACCGATTCGTGTCCCTAGATCAAATTCAACCGTCGATAAAACGCCGATTGTAAGAATGATTGAGCAAGCGAAGCGGGGAATGAGGAAATACGAATTTTAAATGTATGACAAGTTGACGCGCCACTGATCAATGGACGGTCACGCTGGACACCTGAATACCGAGTTTCTTTGCAAGTAACGGGGGTTACCGGTTACTCTTTAGTACTGGGAAATGACAGGAAAGGACAGAACTGTGTACAGAACATATGCCATCCCCTTTCCATCTTCCCCTTTAACACTATCAAGAACAGTGGTGCAGACAGGATGAAATAGAGAGAGACAGAGAGATGAGTCAGTAGACAGACAGACAAACTGACAGGCGAGGGATTCATCACGGCAGAGAGAGAGAGAGAGAGAGAGAGACAGAATAGAGAGAGAGAGAGAGAGAGAGAGAGACCCTCCCCCCCCCCTCTCGCCTTCTCCTTGACCTCCCTCCCCCCTCCCTCCCTCTCCCTCTCCCTCTCTCCTCTCTCTCTCTCTCTCTCTCTTCTCTCTCTCTCTCTCTCTCTCTCTCTCTCTCTCCTCTCTCTCTCTCTCTCTCTCTCTCTCCTCCTCCTCAAATCCCTCTCATTCTTTCACGCTCTCTCTCCCGTCTGAGAAAGAGAGAGAGAGAGAGAGAGACAGAGAGAGAGAGAAAGACAGACAGACAGAGAGAGGACAGAGAGATAGAGAGAGAGAGAGAGACAGAGAAGATAGATATGAGAGAGAGAGGAGAGAGAGAGAGAGAGAGAGAAGAGAGAGAGAGAGAGAGAGAGAGAGAGAGGACAGAGAGAGAGAGAGAGAGAGAGAGAGAGAGGACAGAGAGAGGAGAGAGAGAGAGACAGACAGAGAGAGAGAGAGAGAGGAGACCAGAGAGAGAGAGAGAGAGAGAGAGAGAGAGAGAGGAGAGAGAGAGAGGAGGACAGAGAGAGAGAGTAGAGAGGAGAGAGGGGACAGTACAGAGAGAGAGATAGGAGGGGGGGGGGCAGCCAGCCAACTACAGTAATGTTTATTGACACGTCTTATGCCTGGCAGCGCGGCGCGAGTCACATGCCAGGCCAGCATATATAGACGCAGGCACTAGCTCTCTCTTCTTAGTCGATTACAAGATATTCCTCAATCACAAACCCCTTTCGAGTGCTCTCGAAGTAAAAGATATTTTCGGTAAAATACATATATTTCTACGCAACCTTCGTGACTTTGTCGCGTTGAAGAGAAGAAACCGTTCGTTCTCTGAGAATTTCGTTCCGTTTTGTGCACGTTTGTCGGAAGACCGAAAGCGTCAGCTCTTTTAAAGGTGCTTGTTGCTTTGCCTGACGGAAGAGAATAAACATTTCATCGGCTTTCGCCCACATCGCCGCACGTCGGAGTAGCTCAACCTCAAAGGTTTGCAGGACGTGTAGTTCTCCGTTCGCCAGGATAGCTTGTCACAGAGAAGGCGGGAAAGCATAGCCAATCAAACGCGTGCAAAACTCTACGGGCGCGAACACCCCGATTTTGGAGTCTAGCGGTGACGTCAGAGGGCGGTCGCTCATCTGTGGCTTGCCCCCCCCCCCCCCTCCCCAGCCGTCTGAGAGTCAGGTGAGGCGAGCAGCAGCCGCTGGCCGAACCAGATAAAACGCTCGATTAGGTATACGCGCGAGCGAGTGTCGGCGAGCAGGCACGAGATAAAGCCGGCGCCATGATGCAAGTGAGCACAATGTACGCGCAATCTCTCGAACGGCAGCTGGTGTCGCGGCGCTCGCAGCTCATCCACAACCTCTCCCGCTCCAGCTGCGGCCAGTCGGACCCGATGCGACAGGCAGCCGACGCCCCGACGCTGGACCCGCTGCCGCCCCTGCCGCCTCCCGCGGCCAAGGGCGAGACCGAAGTGGATCCCAAGGAGTGCACGGACCGCCTGTGCCGCCTGCCGTCGCAGTGCCGCGGGGACACATCCTGGGGTCGCCGCGAAGGCAGACCTCCGCCGCCGCCGCCGCCTCGCGCCTCACGCAGTCCACGGGCAACCTGACCGTGCACTCCGACCTGAGCCTCATGAAGAAGAAGGACGCCGACCTGGCCGCCGCCGGGTCGCCGCACCACTCGCCCGTGCTCGACAAGAAGGCCGCCAAGAAGGCCAAGGAGAAGCAGGAGAAGGAGGCCAAGAGGTCGCCCTCCAACTTCATGCTCCTCACGCCGTGGTTCACCAGGCAGAACTGCGAGAAGCTCCTGACGCAGGTGCGCTCCGGGGACATCCTCGAGTTCAACATCAAGCTGCACCACCACTGGGGCATCGCCGTGCTGCCCAAGAACAAAAGTAAGGCTCTCTCTCCTCTCCCTCCCTCTCTTTCTGTTTATCTACCTTCCTATCTACATTTCTGTCCCGCTGTATCCATTCCCATACTTCTTCTCTTTTCTCTCCTTTCTCCACTCCCATGCTTTCTTACTCCTTCTCTGTCTGTCAGTCTTTTCATCTCTTTATTTTGTAGATGAATTATATTTCATGAATATTGATAGTACGTAGGTCTTCCCTTGTGCCTTATTGACATAGCGTGTAGCGTGTCCCGTGGAAAGTAGCGAGTCACTTTGTTTTGGTTCAGCTCAGCGGTCAGTCTCGTATGGCTTCGATCAGTTGTAAAACGTCATGTTTCATTCAGTCCAGTTTTTGGCTAAGACTCTTCTTCTTTTTATCTTTTATGTAAGTACAGAGGCAAATCTTTATAGATTTTGGTACAATAGTAGCTTTTCAAAATTGAGTTATGTTTTGTCTATATATGTAACTAACCCGTAAAACACGAACAATAATGAGCAGAGTTACATTGTCATGAAAACATTGTGAGTCATATTCACCAATGTCCGTTGTGGGGAATACTTTCAGTTTCATATGAACATCGTTAAGGGCTGGCAATGTGATGTTACCTAAATGATACATTGAAAGGAAATAGGCAACTGTACATGATTACACAGAAATGGGGAAGGGATGTTAGCCAGTGCACGCCTTCAGCCACACCCAGTACATGTGTGTGGCGGACAGACGTACGCACGCACATGGAACACTCGACAGCATGTACAATCACACACACACCACGCACGCACACAAACATACACTAAACCACAATCGATATTAAGGAGAATCACATTGCCAGTTATTTTTTCTCTGCAAGACAAAAATCCTCAAGTAAATTACCACTAAATTTCACCTAACAACATATGCGCATGTATGCCATAGATTCTCGGACCTTAAACCCACTTTCAGAGGAGTCGTTGCGATCCCTCTGTAACTCGCAAGGGCGGGACTTCAATCTTGCAAGTCCCTCAAGCCCTCCGAAGCCTCCTGCTCGAAGCTTATCTGCTCCTGAATCAAGAGGCTTCGCGCGAACTCTTCCCTTCCTCTTGCTCTGCGCCTGGAAGCTTCTCCAAGAGCACCGACCTCTGAGAAGTCCTCTTTCGTAGATGATAACTTGACCAAAGTCGCAAAGGCGAAACCAAAACCCAAAGTGTAGGAATCGCTACTCGAAGCTTTCTCGAAGTCGCGTCGTCACCACCATCATCATCCTCACATCACCACCACCATCACCCTCACCATCACTAGAAGACCAGGGAAGGCCGCATCTCGCACCGCCAAACCCCAAGCGAGCCAGCTTCTGACGGAGGCCGTGTTCTCTCCACCTCCAGAACCTAGCCTGACCACCTTGGAGATGGCGCACCTCCTTCGAGATAAGGACGGGCGCCAGAGGGTCGTCCGCCAGGCCCTGAAGGACTACTGGCACGAGGGCGTCACCGCCAGGATCAACAACTCCAGGGACGTCCACAAGCCTCCTCTGGCCGCCGGGGAAGTGACGTCAGCGGCACTCAAGGTAGGGACATCACTCTGCTGGGGACGAAGGAGAGACAAGTTCAGTGTAGAGGGGGAATGGGTCCTCGGGTCGTTGCTTCATGATGCTAAAATGATTAATTGAGATTAATTGATAAGAAGATTAATACGATTGAATAGCAATGATAGTAATATAAGTAGTAATGAATTATTAATGAATTAGCCTTCCTGTAGGCACACATATTATGATTGACTTTTTCTAAGCATTTTTTTCCAAACAAAAATTAAATTTGATTTGTACGTTCTCTAAAGGAAATAATGTATCCCATTTCCCCCCTTCTGATCTATTTTTCCCAAATTCCCTATCAAAAAATCTTAACAGAAAAATAAATGAGCAAGATCAATTGTAGATCCCCCAGGGCCTTCTCTGTGCAAAAATAAAATGAAACGCCCTTGTAATATTTCAAGAGAATGTTCTACTCGCCCCTGCTTTTCCCCAAAAATATAATGAAACGCCCTTGTAATATTTCAAGAGAATGTTCTACTCGCCCCTGCTTTTCCCCAAAAATATAATGAAACGCCCTTGTAATATTTCAAGAGAATGTTCTACTGCTTTTCCCCAAGAAAAGAAAAATCTAATTAGCCTGACCCATAATACCCATGAATTAACTCGAGATCTCCCTGTTGCTTTGCAGCTGATCGTGCAACCATACCGGGTGTGGCAGAACTCCGAGCAGATGGTCGTCTCGTGTCGTTATGGCGACGGCCAGCGAGCGAGGCAGCTCAGCGACGCAGCCAGGTGGGTCAAGTGCCTGAGCTTTTTATGAATAATGATGATGATGATAAAAGATAAGAATAACGAAACTTTATGATAACCATCATTATTGATAATTTGCTTTTTATTATTTTTTTTTTTTATCTTCATTATCTTTGTTATTTTTATTATTAGTAGTAATAGTAGTAGTTTTAGCATTGTTATATTGTTTGGTTGTTATTAATAATTTTCATTATCATGGTCGTAAAGGGTTTCTTAATTCTAACAAAAGCAGATCCAAGATTTTTGTTCCTCTAAATAGATTAGAATTGTATTCCATATTTTTCAATTTTGCAACAACGGCGCGATTCACAGCTGTCTTGCCGAGTGTGTGTCTATTGCATTATCAGCTGTCCTCTGATCTTTTTGTGCTTCTTGTGTGTCTTTTCGCTCGACTTTCTTCCCCTTTCCCTCTTCCCCGTTCGCTTTATCCCCCGAGCTCCTCCAAGAGCTCTCTCTCCTTCCTTTTTGCGTCTGCTCTTCGTGGTTGGCCTCTTTCATCTTTTTCATTCTCTCCCCATGGCATTTTTCTTCCTTTCTCTCTCTCTCTCTCTCTCTCTCTCTCTCTCTCTCTCTTCTCTCTCTCTCTCTCTCTCTCTCTCTCTCTCTCTCTCTCTCTCTCTCTCTCTCTCTCTCTCTCTCTCACTCACTACTTGCTCCTCCTTCTCATTTTCTCCTTTACCACTTCTCCTCTTATTCTCCATTCTCCTTCCTTCCATCCCCTTCCCCTTCCCCCCTTCCATCCCCTTCCCTCTTGCCCCCCTTTCCTCCCCTTTCATCCCCTTCCACCCCCCTCCCCCCTTCCACCCCACCCCTTCCATCCCCCTGTGGCTCCTCCTCACGGCCGTCGATCTGTTGTGTCCACAGATGGGGTTCGCTGAGTCGGTGCGTGGGGCTGTGGCTCACCCTCACCTCCTCGACGCAGAGCAGTCCAGCCGGCTCGCCAGGCCCCCTCAGGAAGAGAACCGTGTCTGTCAATTTCTAAGGGGCTTGGAGAAGAAGGAGGAGGAGGAGGAGAAGGAAGAGAGAAGAGAAGAGAAGGAGAGACGGGAGGCACGAGGAAAGAAGAGGATGAGAAGAGGAACGACACGCTGTGATGTTTGGTTCTCGAAAGGAGGAGCAGAAGTAACGTCGTCCTAAAGGTACGGAAGGAAGAGAACGAGGAGGAGGAGGAGGAGGAGGAAAGTGAGCGCGTTTTGTGGTTGCTATAATAAGTATTGTCATTATTTTTATATATTTTCACGGTACGTCTGGAGGAAGTATATCATATATTTTTTTCGGGACGTTGGCGACACAATGATATTATATATATATATATATATATATATATATATAATATATTATATATATATATATATATATATATATCGTGTGGCAGTGTTTAGGTTGTAAGGTGAGAATTGTATTTACAAATATATAAAAAGATATATTTATTTGAGTGGTAATGGATTAACTGTATAGAAAACGGATGTAGGGTAATGTATATTATTTTTTCTAGTCTTGTATTTTTTCTTAAGAAAGTGTATATGCTTTTCCGCCAGTAACAAGGTAAAAGAGAAGAAAAAACATATATTTAAGGAAAAAAATAGGTAATAGAACCTAGACATGGGAGATGTGATATTTATATTTTTCCGCTGAAAAGAAAACTAAAAAGACAATGTGTTTGGAAAATATTCAAATGTGAAATTGACTTGCAATTAGTCCATTGCATAATTCCAAGTGAAGAAAATTATTTTCTTGATGAAATTCATAAGACTTGTATCATGGAGAAGGTCAATAAATTACATTAGTAATTTAACTGTCACAGTATTAGGTAAATCAACGGATATATGGTAAAAAGGGGGAAAAACGATATTTTGATTCACAACACACGCGGGAGAGAATATGGGTAACAGACCTATTTCGAAATTATTTTTTAAATGGTTTTGATGTTACCCTGATAACCGGAAATTATCTTTGCAGTTAGAGTAAATTACTTAAGGGAAACACACTTGAAGTAGTAGGTATTTGATGAACTAGATATAGCCAAAACAGGCACCAAAAAGCGTTTACACCTACGGCAGTTTTCTGCGTGTAGAAACACACCTCTTTGTAACTCAGTGAGTGCAGGTAATATATGTATGTCGTAGGATTCTCTATATACATATACGTGTGTGTGCAATGTTCATATCTATACATTCACACCAGCTAACTTCTGTACTGAATGTGGTAGCTGTCTGCACGGCAAATTCCTGTGTGCTCTCCGTTTCCTTTCAATAGACTGTGCATTATTTCTACAGAGATCGAGACCGCAACGAAATCTATATGTGTATGTGTGTATGTTGACGCCTAAGACAAAGGGATAATTCATCGCCAAAGGTAAATGTTGCAACGAAATCTCCATAGCTTTTTGGTGTTGCATTCAAGTTGTCACCGAAAAGAGGTGGGAAAAAAATAACCAAAAAAGTCGAGTAGATTTTTTTGGTGAAGTCATATTCTCACTCGAAGCTCACGTGTCACATATTACGTTCGGTTGCTCGCAGTAAAAGACAAAGATCTCACAGCAAACCTCTCCAGTGTTTTTTTTTTCTCTCTCACGAAGCATTTTTTTTTCGTGCGACTCAAATAGCGAATGAAAACCGCTCGGCTGAGTAGCAAGCGCCGCTCAGAAGGCTTTGCAGACGGAGAGTTTGCTGACCAAGTGTTTCCTAGTCCACACGCAGACGGCTCGAGATGGCACCAGACCCTTCCGCCGCATCTTCCACTTCGTTCCACTTGTCTTCACCGTAATCCAAGGGCGGGGACCCAGCCAAGGGGAAGAGCGACCCTCCCCCCCCCTGCTCTCTTCCCCCCCCAGCTCTTCCCCCCCACTCCCCCTCCCTCCATACCTTCCTTGCCTTTCCACCCCCTCCCTCCTCCCCCCCTTAACCTCGTCCTTGCGTCCCCGACAGACGGAAAAGAGAAATTGAGGAAAGTTATTCAGACTTTTGACTTTTTGACTTTTTCACGTTGTATCATTCCAATTCTTTTCCTTTCTTTCCTCAATTCCTCCTTTATTCCTCCTCTTTCATTCCTCCGTTCTCCGTAGTTGGTAAGTGATTTCTCTTTTTTCATCTCTTTTAGTATAGTAAATAACATAACTGATCTTTTACACGGAACGGAAATGAAATAAAAGGGAAAAGATAAAAAAAGGGGAATAATTTCACTATCTCTTTTCTCTTTCTCTTTCTCATTCTCATTCCACCGTCATTGCGAGTACCTGAAGAGAAGAGGCTGTATTTTTTTTTTTTGCAAAAGGGTCATTTTTAAGCCTATTTTTGGATGCATTTTATTTGGTTCCCGTTTGATGTTAATGCCAGTCTTGTGTGTTTGTGTGTGTGTGTTGTGTGTATGTATATGTATATGTATATGTATATGTGTATTATACATATAAAACATATAAACATGTACAAACATAAAATAAACACATATAAACACATGCACTTCGGACCTTAATTTTGTATGTAAGATAACGAAAGCCTCGATCTCAGACAAAAGTCTTTGAGTCTGTCTGTGTCACTCACTGTTTGCGAATCATCATTCCCGGGAATATTGCATCATATCTTCTCTGTCTGTCTGTTCATCCACTCGTCCATCCATCTATTTATCTATCCGTTTATCCCTCGTTTCGACACCCATAACCTATCCTCATGTATCAGGGTTCATATTGAGCTCGTGGAACTTGACTGCAACCTCAAGCCAATGCAACACACTGCAATATCAAGCAACTAGAGATGCACACACTTATGGCCGTATAGGGAAGGAAATTATTTTACTGATATTTAGTTTTTTTTTTATTTGCCGTTGTTATATAATTGTTGTTTTGCAATTATTATTATTATTTTATTATTATTATTATTATATTATCATTTTGGAGGGGGTTTGTGTCGAAGGAAAGGGGGGGGGATCCATTCTGTAAACCCAAGGTCGAGAATTGTCACTTAGATATTTTCTCGGCCAAGGGGTAGCGGACCCCCCACCCCCTCCCCCTCCGTCTCCTTACCCTTTCGCAGCATTGTATGTACAGCATTGTAACTTGCACATTTTCATTGTAGCGGCGATCAGCAATTTGTACACAAATGTCTCCTGTTTCTCTTATCTGCGACCATTACCACAAAGAATATTTCGGTGTTATTTTCCACGTTAAGGCATCTTGTACATACGCATTTTGAAGACGATGTGTTTTAAGAAAAGAAAATAAGATTTTGTGAGGCTTTGTAAAGAGTTGCCATCCAATCTTTTTGTTGTATATTTTTTGTAATTCATTTCTTTGTTTTTTTGTACCCATGACCAGTGATTGATGTAGAGGCTTTAGCATTGGTCTTCAAAGAATAATAACAAGCACTATTGATTGCTACGTCTATGCATGTATATATATTGCTCTGTGATAACTTTTGAATCTTAAGTTTGGTAAAGTTAGTTTCGGGCACAGTGGCCGCCCCAACACATTCCGCGGCGAGCACACGACCTTCCTCTTCTCTTCTCATCTCCTCTTTCCTCCTCTTCTCTTCGGTTCTCTTCTCTCCTTTCCTTTCTTCTCGTCTCCTCTTCTCTTCTCTGCCCTCCTCTACCCCACCTTTCACCTCCCCCTCCCTTTTCTGTCACTTCTTTCCCTCCTCTTTCGTAATCTCTTCAACTCCTCCATTTCATCTTCTTTCTCCTTCCTGTTCTCTCGGTCGTCCTCCTTGAGACACATAATAATCCCATGGTCATTCCTATGTACATTGATTACCTTTTGTAAGATTATTTCTCGTGTATCAACTTCATTCCACGTTCATGTCGAGATGCTAAATAATACATTTTTTCACCAAAAGAAAAGATCATATCAAACATGTGATTCCACTTGTATATACCCATGTGAACACACCACTCCATTCTTGGAATTCGCCTCTCTCTCTCTTTCTCTCTCTCTCTCTCTCTCTCTCTCTCTCTCTCTCTCTCTCTCTCTCTCTCTCTCTCTCTCTCTCTCTCTCTCTCTCTCTCCTCTCTCTCTCTCTCTCTCTTTCGCTTGCCTCATTCATAAAACTTGCTCAAGCAGGGGTATGGAGAAGGCACTGTGCCCACGATCCATGGATATGTGCTTGCATGTACGTGTGAATGTGTGCGTGTGTGTGTGTGTGCGTGTGTGTGTGAATGCATGTGTAGTGAATCAAAACCACATATTGTAGATATTCAGTCATGTTGTTTGTTTGTTTCCCTCGAATATATTTTGTAAAGAAGTGATTTTTCCTTGTATTATTTAATCCTTTTACTACCAATTCTTTATTGGCGAAGAGAAGAAACATATTGATGAAAATAAATGAATGATAGAAGGAAAACATACAATGTGAATAGATAAGGATAAAAATAAATAGATATCAATAAAACAAAGAAATAGAATAAATATATATTTAAATTCTTAAAAATTATGAAAAATGGAAAGTAAATATAAGATAGCAATATATGAATAAAGAGGATGAACATGATGATAAATTAATAAAAAAAAATATGAATGGAAATTTAATATAACGAAGAGGAAAATGCGAATAATTGACATAAAAAAGTAATAGAAGACAAGAGAATGAATAGGATAACAAACAAATGAATGGATAAAGATAAAAAAGAGAAAAAAAAATGAAACCTGGAAATTAAATAAGATGATAGGATAAAAAGAGAACGTGGGAAATACTTTCATCTCGAAGTGAAATTAAACAATTATTAGTCGACCATGAAATAGATATGAAACCAAATGCGAACAGAGAAAGAAGAGATAGTGAAAAAGAATGAAAAAGAATATAATGATGTAAAGGAAGTAAACAAGGGTTAGAGACGTAAAAACAGAATAAGAAAAGAAAAAAGAACAAAAAAATGCAATAGCTAAATTTATTACAATAAACATAAACCATAATTCAACTTTTTTCTTCTGACAACACAATAATCCAGAGAGACTTAACATCAAATGCGAATTCCGCGTATGATAAATTTCAGATTATGAAATGACATGGATAAAATGCCATGACAAATGCATTGTAACTTGCAATGCTATTTTTAACTCTTTGACAGCAGTAATTAGTGTCGAGTTCTGCCCTTTTCGCACGGAAGCTCCTGACCGATGTTGCCGACTCGCTGGTCAATTTTAATTTTCGTTCGCAATTCCAATATTTTTTTTGTGATTTTCTCCTTTCTCCTTTCTTTCTTTCTTCTTCCTTCTTCTTCTTCTTCGATATTAATGTGTGATGTTCCGACTCCTTCCCTTGCCATTTTAGAAAGATGGAATTCAGTCCTGCTTTTGCAATTCAGAAATGTTTATATGAGATTCAGTTCCATTTTCTGGAAATCCAAACCTACTTTAGCCATTCGTATACATTCGGTCCTATTTCTACATTTTCCTCCCTCCACTCTCATCCTCCTTCCTCCCTCACCCACTCTCCCCCCATTTTCACCCTGACCCACCCTCCCTTTCCTCTCACCCTCCCTCACCCTCACTCCCCTCCATTCTCCTTCCCCCTCCACCTTCATTCCCTCCCCTCCCTCTCTTCCTCTCATCCTCCCTCCACCCTCACGCTCTTTTCTCTCACCCCTCACCCTCACTTCCACCCCTTCCTTCTTTCACCCCCTCCACCTCCCACATTTCACCCCTTCCTTTCCTTTCACCCTCCTCCATTCCTCCCTCATTTCACCCCTTCCTTTCCTTTCCTTTCACGCTCCCTCCATTCCCTCCCTCATTTCACCCCCTCCTTTCCTTTCCTCTCACCCTCCCTCCATTCCTCATCCTCCCTCCATCCTCACCTCCCTCCATCCTCATCCTCCCTCCATCCTCACCCTCCCTCATTTCACCCCCTCCTTTCCTTTCCTCTCACCCTCTCCTCCTCCTCCTTCCATCCTCACTCTCCCTCCTTTCCTTTCCTCTCCCCCTCCTCCCCCCATCAACCCCCATTCTCCCCTGACCCCCGTTCCTTCATACATTTAAGTGGTTTCCAACAAGGCTTCACATTTAAAGGTGACACCCGAAATGCAGCCCAGCGTGGGAATTGGAGCCGGCCAAGCATCAGGCATGAAGTGTGCGTGCGTGCGTGCGTGCGTGCGTGCATGCGTGAGTTTCGAGTTTCGACCAGGACGTGACCGGAAGGGAGGGGGATGTGCTACATTACATTCAGTTATTATCGGAATAGAGTCCGTTCTCTCTCTTTTTTCTTTCTTATTTTCTTTTTTCTTTCTTTCTTATTTTCTCTCTCTCTCTTTCTTTGCCTTTCTCTTTCCGTTTTTATCTTTCTTTTTTTTCTCTTCTCTTTCTGTCGCTTTTTACATCATTCTCTTTTTTTCCCTCTTCCTCTTTCACTTTCGTATCTCCCTCTCCTTCTTTCTCTCTCTCCTTCTCTTTTTCATCTCCCTCCTCTTCCCTCTCCCATTCCCCCTTCCATCCCTCTCCCTCTATTTTTCTATTCTAG